GGTTCTGTGTATTCAGAACGTTCTCTCCCTGGGGATGGCACAGCGATGCAGTGGGAAGGCTCATCTCTTCCAATGACCTGGGAGCTACGCGGACACAGGCAGGGCAAAGGCAGGGACCAGAGGAAGCGCCTCCTGCTGACCCTCCAGGCTGGGGATGAGCGATAGGCCAATAACCTGCCCTCCAAACAACCTCCGTTCAAAACAGTTTCAGGACCCCTGAGAGGAAGCCAGCGTGAGATGAGGCTGGCGGAGCCCTGCTTGTGCCAAAGAGCCGATTCCGAGCCCCGGTGGGCAGCCCTCTTCGGGGCTGGAGTATCAGGGTATGACAGGGATGCCATGACTCCGGATAAATGAACTGCTGCGGTAGTCTGGTAGGTCAACACAGTAAGGAAATGATGAACTCGTATTCTATCGAATGACTTCTCTGCTGGAGGGGAATCCCAGAATACCACATGGTTAGTTTGATAAACCGCTACACTCAGTAAGATCTAATATCAAAAACATGGGAGTGGGGGTGGGGGGAGTCCCAGCCTCCCTGACTTCTCTGGTAAAACTCCCAGAGACTTCAATGGGGCCAGGGGTTCAGCCATGGTGCCTGGACTCCTAAAACCCACCCCCCAAAGGCTGCTAAATCAGGGCCCTTTCTGGCAATTCTTAGCTCAGGTGTCCAGGACTGAATGGGCTGTGGGGCCTGAACATCCTCTGGCTCTTAGCTGTGCAACTGGTGGTGCTGTTCTGGGTGCATGGAGGGCTTTGGTCTGTGGGAGCTCTGGGCTGGTGCCTCTCCCTGACTCACTGAAACTACAGCGTTGTAATGGCATCTTTCAGCAGTCAGTGCCTGGCTAACTGCATGGAAAGAGAATTGCTGGTAGGTTTGTTTGGCTGCGGCTATCTGCTCTGTGAGGTCAGAAACCTCCCCCTCACCAATGGGGCTCTTAGTGAAAGGACACGGTGAAATCTGTAGGAAACCCCTTACATCTCTGGGATGTGGCTTTTCTCAGCCCAGGTCTCTTTCTAGTTGCTGTCGCTAGGATCCCATTGCGCTGCGTGCTACACCGACGTGGAGTGAGAGAATCTCTGCCCCGATCAGCCTCCAGTCTAGAGAGATGAGTGGGAGAAAGGAGGGATCCGCTCCTTAAAATAAGTGGGGAACTAAGGCACAGAGACTTTGACTTGCCCAACAAGGAGTCTCTGCAGAGCTCAGATCTCTTAGCCATAAGACCGGCCTCTGAGGGTACGTCTACACTGCAAAGGAAGCCAAGGGTTAGAACTGGCAAACCCTGGGTTTGTTAACCTAGGACTTGAGTGTCTACACTCATTTGTAACCTCCAGTGAATCCTGGGTCCCAACCTGGGGCTCCAGTGTCTGCCCTGCATTATGCAGCCTGAGTCCAACCACCCATATCCCAGACTTCCTAGCACCCTCCCGAGGTGCAATGGTCTAAGGTTGACGTGCCTAAGGCAGGAATGACCGTACCAGGGTCTGTGTCTGGGGGAAGGGCAGCAGCCTCCTCGCCAGGCACAGTTGAGGAAAAGCCCGAGCTGCTGCTGCAGGAGTGTCCGACAACAGCTGTGCACAGGCCAGGAGTTTGAAAAGAAGGGCGCAGTTGAGCATTCTGGCAGAAGAGGGCGCTGCTGGGTCAGTTTTCATTGCTCTGGGTGTTGCGAGGGAGAAGTTCCGGGTTAGCTGCCCTAGCTGGGAAAGGTGCATGGGCCAGGCCCAGTCAGGCCTTGAGCTGAAGTTTGCAAGGTGCATGCAGGACATGCAAATCCTTAGTGCTGCATCCAGCACTTGCAAGTCTTTAGCTTAATTTGCAAGATGCAACCGATAAGACAGCCACCGATTTCTCACTTACTGGTTTCTTGCATTGTAAGAATCCATTTCTAACTCTTGGCCACTTGCACAGCTCCCATTGTGGCGGGGTGATACTGGTCTCGCCATTAGACGGATCTGGCTCTGAGGCCCAGAGAGGCTAAGTGACTTGCCCACGGTCACACAGGAAGTCTGTGGCAAAGTAGGGAAATGGGGAATTGAACCCAGTTCTCTCAGGCTAGCACCCAACCCTCAGTGGGCAGGGAGGGGTACCCGCTCCAGCGTGCTGGGCCTGAACAGAGCTCTGGCTCTCAGGCACAGAAGGTAGGGCCCAGTGCACGCTGTGTGCGCACCACGCTGACCTCTGAGCGTAGGAACTGCTCAACTGGGTGTCATACGTATTAGCAGTACGGGGCAGACTGAGGAGCCACCTTTAGGTTAAGTGAGAGGGGGAGGACATTTTGGAGGGGGGTGGTGCTGAGTTCTAGCCCCATCTGTCCCTGTGCTGTGATAAAGGGGAAGGCTGAGGGCGCCTTGTGGAGCTGTTACGAGAGATCCCAAGGCCAGAAGGCTCGTCCTGTCTATCACAGGCCAGAGAACCTCCTCCCAGTAATTTCTGGACTGGAGCTTGCAGGAGAAACGTCCAATTGAGCTATCAAAGCTGTCGATAATGGAGAATCCACCGCAACCTTCGGTAACTTGTTCCAACGGTTAATCTGTGCCTTATTTCCAGGCTCAATTTGTCTGGCTTCAACTTCCAGCCCTTGGATGGTGTTTGACCTTTTCCCTGCCCGATTGAAGAGCCCAGCCTTAAAGGTGTGTTCCCCAAGTAGGGACACTTACGGGGTGACTGGACACACACTAACTTCCTCTTTGGTAAGCCAAATGGGGTGAGCTCCTGGAGTCTGTCACTATAGGGCAGGGGTGGCCAAGCCATGGCTCGGGAGAAGCATGCAGTTCTTTGATAGTTAAACTCTGGCTTGTGGAGTCCCCCACCCCTATTGGTGGGGGACCTCTGCCTTGCAGCAGGGTAGTGGGTAGGGGTTGCTGCCCAGCAAGGAGGGGGATATTAGGGCTTCAACTGCGCGAGGAGGCCTGCCTGGGCTGCAGGCACGGGACTGAAAGGCTGAGCCGGAGCAGAGCCACCCCAGCTCTCAAACTTCTGAAGATCGTCGTCTGTGGCTGGGCGAGTCAGTAAGTTTTTGGCTAGCCCTGTTCCAAGGCCTAATTTTGAATCCTTTAACCATGGTCATGGTTCTCCTGCTGGGGGAAGAATTATGGGTCAGAGTGGGGGACTTCTGTGCACAAGGGGCAATTAGTGCTGTGGGGTGGAGTCAGGCACTGGCCCCTTGGCTCCCTTCACCAGCAATTCCCACACCAAGCAAAGAACTGATCCCAATGGATTTGCCTCTCGGCTGAGCTCTGGGAAGGGGGCCCTGTGTGAGCAGGGGCGGGCCTGGGGTGATGCTCCCCTATTAACATCTTGTGCTTTTTAAAAAAATAATTCTGCAGTGGGGGCTGGGTGGGTTTCTTTTTTTGTG